TATATATACATACATATATAAACTTTTGAACCATATGTATTTTCTGACTCAGATTGTCGAGTTAGGTCGAAATATAGTAAAATTAACGGAAAATTACGTCATGAGGACAAATACAATAGTTAGATTTTTATAAAATCTACTAATAGTAACTATTAAATAAAGAAACTTTTGTGATAATAATAATATGATTTATGTTATTTCATATTAACTGAATCATTTAATGGTTGAAAGTTATTTCAAATTAAAAATTTAAAATACAATTTTAAAATGGTACATGAAAAAATTATTTTTATTCGATTTTAAAATGATTACCTTTACAAGCTAAAACTAAAATATCTCGGTAAACTTCGGCAATACAATGATCGATTTATTTTATAGTTTTTATTTGAGAATAAATTATAATTAAAAATTTTTGTCACAAACGCCTATATAGATGCAAATGACCAAATTCATCACGGTTTTTAACGTGACCGTAAATTTTACATCAATTTTCAAACATGCTTTATTAAAAAATTCTGTCAAAAACGTCTATATGGTTGCAAATGACGAAATTTGTGACCGTTTGAAACGTGACGGTCATTCAGCATCACAGAAATTTCTTAAAATTATGTGACGGTCACAGGATGGTCTTATGTCCGTGTCCTGGCCAAAAATAAAAATGACGGTCATTCCGCATCTCTAGGAATGACCCATTTGCATTTTATTTTGTAAGACATTCGTAATTTTATAAAAATTTTTTAACAGTATACTCAAGATTATTTATGACAAAAACAAGTAGTGAATTTGATTAGAAACAATGTTATTTTGAAAACTCTTTATTAAATATTGATAAACGGTTCATTAAAATTACAAAACGTGTAGAAATTCTCAGTTATATTACAAAATACCATGAAATTTTCTGATAAAAGTTGTAAAAATACAAAAAATATGTGTAAATTTTTAATCACTTTATAGTTTGAATATTCTAATGTTAAAATTTAAAACCATATGATAAGAAATTCGCAAATCTATTTGTTAATTTTAACAATCACGATGTTAAGCCAAGGATATTACCAACAAAGTGTTGAGCTTGTTCTTTCGAATTATTTAACTGTTACGTCCATACCTGTATGCGCAGATGTCTCTGATAGCAAATACGCGCGAAATACCAATTACGAAATACCGCTACGTACTTCACGGCAGTTGTCTAACCGTATAATTTCAAAGTGTATTTTAAATAGTTACATAAATTCATTTGTTAATTAAATTCACCGAAGTTAGTTATTTCGGAGTTAATTCGAGAACATCTACTTACGACTCTAGAGGTCGTAACATCTTTATCTCCAGCTCTAGTTGTTCTACTGGTTACTTACGAACCCGTGAGGTAACCGGGACGTAACATAACCTTAAAGACTTTTAACCTAAATTAAGTTTTTTTTTTAATTTTCCCCTTTTTCCTCTCAAGAAAAAAAATTTTTCCGTTGCATTGATCAGTCTAGCGTTCATCTATCACGAATCGGTTTTTACAGACTAATTTTTGCTTTTCAGTAACTAATAAAGTTAATTAACTAAATAAACCTCTCATTACAATAAAGGATCGATATTACCACTTAGTGACTTTTACATGAGACGGCAAATCACATGATATTCCCTCACAAAAATTAACTGGAATTATTCCAATTGATAAATAAACTGCACCTTTTGCAGATGTTATTAATGACAGTCCAAACATAACATATTGAAGTCTCTACTTACAGGGAAAGTTGGCGGGGTTATTAGCTCTCACTGTTAGTGTATTGTGCGGATGACCTGGTGTATTATTATGTTTTTTGCAGATACACGTTGCTACTCCAATTATCATACTCAATATGATGAGAGTGATTATTATTAAAACCACTGCAACCCAGCTTTTTTGAATCCCAAGTATCATTGAAGTCTTAGTGTCTAAAAAAAAAAAAAAGAAATAGTTAGAAACGGAAATTGTCATTTATTTCGAATACTAGACTCATCGACTATAACAGTGGAACTATACATTTAATCATTTTCGTAGAAAGTGAACAGTTTGATTCACAACTTTTTGAAGATAATATAAGAGAATAAGTTCAATTTTGATAATTCAATGATATAATTCAATAATAATGTCAAATAATTGTGTAGTTAAGCATAAAAACATTTTACGTATAACAAATTAATTTATATTCCTAAACATGTATTATGGAAACTTGTAGTTATTCTTTTCTTTCTAATACCACATCAGAAGAAACTCTTGTCAGTTGTGATCATGATAAATATTTTTTCATATTCTACGAACAAGGTTGGCACCTAAAAATTTGATAATGTATCCAACGTGTGACTCAGTGGGACAGTGAGTTGCATACCCGAGAAGAAATATTTATATATAATTATATATATTTATATATAAATTGGTTATATATAATTATATATGAAAAATGGCCAAATATAATCATATCTAATTGAAAATAATTATGTATAATTATATATTAGAGTGGTCCAAAAAAAAAAGTTTTTTGCCTATCATCTTAAGGGGGTATTCTAGTGTAGAATTTCAAAAAAATCGATTTTTTTTTTTTATATTTTCAAAGTTTAACTATTTAAGAATATGTCTACGAGAGGATTTTTGAAAATTTAAATTATTTTCGGAGCTATAGACATTTTACTGACCCGGCCTCCAAACTGGTTCGGTTGGGTCTAGTCGGACAAAAGACATTAGGGATTCTCCGTCTACCTGAATCTATATTTCTCAGTTAAACCTTTTGTCCTTTATATATATGTATATAAAGGATATATATATGTGTGTGTATGTATTTAGTGTAATATAATAACCCAAGGTGACGTGTCTTTTATATTATTCAGTGTTCACTAACATCCAGCTGCTGGCAGTCAAATCCCAACCTCGAAAACACGTGGACGTATGTGCAGTGATCGAAGGATATTTTGCGAGTAATAATTTTGATTCTTATAAATAAAATGGATAAAAAATCCACAACGAAAAAATATAAGCGTGCAGATCGACCAACAAAACGGAAGTTTCACGGCAATCGGCACACTGTAGAAACAGACACCAGTTTTACTAGCTCATCAGCAGCAAAGTTGAGAAAATCAAACGATGCAGAGGTAACAACAGAAAATAATTATGGCTACTGTGTTTTAGAGTTTTTTACTGTGTTTTCGGCACTTTCTTCTCTAGTTTTGTGTGCAAAGTGCAATAAAGAAATTAAATTTTCACGAACGACTTACCGTGGAGTAGGTTTTAAAATTACATTACAATGTAGTTGCGAAAATTACCAATATATACCATCATGCCCAATTATTGAAAAATGTTTTGAAGTGAACCGAAAAATAATATTTGCTATGCGGGTTTTGGGAGTTGGCAGGGAAGGAATCAACATCTTCTGTAGTCTGATGGATATTTGTCAAGGAATATCAATCGGGACTTACTACGCTTGTATTGAAAATATCTATTTAGCTACATCTGCAGTTTATAATCTTGTCATTTCCAAAGCTGTCAACGAAGAAAAAGATTTAATTTCAGCTTGTAATCCAAATGCAAATCCAACGGAGTTTACAGTTTCTGGTGATGGGACTTGGAAAAAAAGAGGTTTTAATTCTCTATTTGGAGTAACTACACTAGTAGCAAAAAATTGCAAGAAAGTTGTTGATACTGTTGTCAAATCCAGTTTCTGTCAAGGTTGTAATATTTGGAAAAATAAAAAAAATTCAGATATTTCAGCGTATCATGATTGGTATGAGGATCATCAAGAAGTTTGTACCATAAATCATAAAGGAAGTGCCGGCAAAATGGAAGTAGATGCTGTTGTGGAGATGTTCGGTAGATCAGTTGAAAAACACGGAGTGAAATACGTAAAATATATTGGCGATGGTGATGCAAAGACATTCAAAGGCATACTCGATATAGATCCTTATGATGGTGACCCATTGGTAGAAAAAAAAGAATGCGTAGGTCACGTACAGAAGAGAATGGGTGCAAGGCTACGGAAAGCGAAGAAAGACAATAAAGGGGTTGGTGGAAAAGGAGAAGGCAAATTAACTGATAAAATTATAAATAAATTGTCGTTGTATTATGGTTTAGCAATTCGCCGGCACCCAGACTCTGTTGAAGACATGAAAAATGCTGTTTGGGCTACTTATTACCACAATAGTTCCACAGACCAAGATCCACAGCATATGTATTGCCCACCTGGTGCGGAGAGTTGGTGTGCGTGGCAAAAAGCTGCATCTGAGGATACCTTAGAGGAGTTTCAGCATGACAATGTTCCTCTGTGTGATAAAGTTTTAGAAATTATAAAACCAATTTATGAAAATTTATCATCAGAGGAATTATTAACTCGATGTTTAGGTTCTGAAACTCAAAACAATAATGAGTCTCTAAACTCGTTGATTTGGACTTTCGCGCCGAAACATATTCATTCTGGACCTAAGATAATTGAAATAGCAACATTTCTCGCTGTTTGCATTTTTAATGAAGGTTTCATTCCAATTTTAAAAATGATGACCCTTATGGGAATGAAAATTGGGCCGGAAGCTCATTCATTTGCTGTGAGACGAGACAACGCCCGGATTGAACGCTCCGAAATACGTACATCCAACGCTTCAAAGGAGGCCAGAACTGCTCGATTGGAAGAGAGAAACGCAGAAAATAGTTTTTTTGAAGTAGAAAAAGGTCTGATGTATGAAGCAGGAATGGCAGATTGAATAAAAGTAAGTATAATATATCATTTCATAACTTTGACAGCGAAAAACTTTACGCGAAACTTCAAATGCGTTTTTCTCAGAACAGACTTTTTCAATATATTTGTCACGATTTCTCGAGTTCTACTGGACCGATTCACTTGAAATTTTCAGGGAATCTTTTTTATAGACCTCTCAAAAATTGGAACTAGCCTTATCCCCAAATTTCAATTTTGACTATTTTTAAAAAATTCGAGAAGCTCAAAAAAATGGTAAAAAAAATCGTCTTTTTTTCAAACAGTCGCCATTTTGTCAAAAAATTTTTTTTTCATTCATCGCTAGTTCTGATTCTTGCGACATCATTGCAGATTAATAATCTTTTTTATTTTTTCATTTTAGATGACTAGGAGGGTAGAAATCATGTCAAAACTCATCTGCCAATTTTTTGACGCCCCCCACTTCATCGGCTGCCAGTTTTTTAAATTTTTGACTTTTTTTTTTTTAATTTTTTTCTGTACTCTTCAAACATTAATAAATGACTGATAAAAAAATGGATGGTAAAAATATTGATTGCTTTTTTTTTACGACACTTTCAAAATGACCTAAAATTCATGTCTCTACACTAGAATACCCCCTTAAAGGGTTACATGGGTTTCGTAGGGGAAAAAATGCCTATTTTCAATCATTTTATTTCTATATAAAAATTATTTAATTAATTCAAACCTTTTTGTGTCTTAAAGATACACATTTAAAGAATAATTTCTGAGATTTTCAAAAAAAAAAAAAATTAAAACTCCGCCATTGTGACGTCATTTCCGGTCACCCCTTGAAAAAAAGGTGCGTCCGCGTTGTCAGCATAACTCCTGACAGGATCATCTAAAATGAAAAAAAAAATACGTGTTTTAGTTAAGACCATAAACTCGTATTTAAATGGAGCAAAAAAAAAAAAAAGTAAAAATTGGAATTTTGGCAGACCTTTTTCCAAAAAAATGATAATTTCGGTCAAATTTGCTCAACATTTTTTTTTTTCAAATAGTTGTAATTGAAAAAAAAAAATCCTCCATAAACTACGAGTTAATTGTATCTCGAACACCTGTGTAAAATTTCATCAAGATCGGTTGAGTAGTTTCTGAGAACTTTTGACAACCGACTTTGAAAACACAGTTCCGAGAAAAACGCGTTTAAAGTTTTGAGTAACAATAATAGTGGAAAAAAAATGTTTTTGTAACTTACAGTCAATCGTCGATTCCTGGGCCATAAAGTAAAGATTCTGCAGCAGTTGCAATATCCAGGGCATCCTTTTGCTCCTGTCGATGACGGATTCTAGCTTCGCGAGTCTCGCTCGCAGATTTTTTTTCGGCCTTGCACACACGGTTTTCATCCGAAATTCGGGCATATTTGTGGGAGTTTCGGCCTAATTTTAAATCCATACCGTGCATAATCAATAATAAAGCTGATGCTCCTTCATTGAAGATACAAGCAGCGATCAATGCCGCAATATTTACAATCTTCGAACCAGCAGGAAGTATTTTTTGAGTAATTTTCCAGATCAACTGGTTGAAGCTCTCGTTGTTATTTTATGTGAAACCACCAACACACCGTTCCAGAAGCTCATCCTTACTGAGATTTTCATATACTGGTTTCATAGCAATCAAAACTTCATCTGGTAATGGAGTATACTCATTTTTAAATGATGAAAGAGTATTTGTAGCTGATGCTCGTTGCCAAGCGCACCAAGAGTCTAGACCTTTTGGACATTTATCGTGCTGAGGTTTTTTATCTGTAGAGCTATAGTGATAATAGGTAGCCCATATAGCGTCTTTCATTTTTTCCACTGATTCACAGTTTCTTCTTATCGCCAAACCATAGTACACAGTTAATTTGTCTATTAGTTTACTTTTACCAGAAAGAGTTTTTTTTTGTGTTTTTTTACCTTTTACTACTTTTTCCTCAGTTGTTTTCTTTACTAACTCACGCAAACGGATCCCCATTCTTTTCTGCACGTGTCCAACGCATTCTTTT